AAACCTTTTAATATTGCAAGGGATTTCAGCTCTGGGAACTCTTGCTACATTGTTCTTAATGCTCACTTTTCTGATATTCAGACCTCTTTCAGGGTAGGTGTCTTACCGTCTGGGCAGGGAAAGAAGATTCACACCAGCGCTCTGAGTAAACAACAGTAACCCAAATCTGCCCTTGAGTGGCACCGGAAAACGCCGAGCTCAGCGTTGGAGCCAGCAGCGTGGCTGAGCTGCAAGCACCCTCTTTGGGGAGCCTGGGTACGAAAGATCCGCGGCATCTGTCCACTGCGTGCAAATGCAAAATCCACATACCTTGTCTCGAGCGTCCTGCGTGGCTGGTGCGTGTGTGGCTCGGCCGCAGTTCCCAGCATGCTCTGGGGATGCCGGACCCGGCGGGTGTGCAGGAGCAGGCGTGCAGCGGCGGGTGTGCAGCAGCGTGCCGCAGCTGACCTCTGCCGGCTGCTGGGGGAGGCCTGCATGCCTGCTTGGCCTAAAACCCCCGAGCCGCCAGCCACCCGGGTCCGAAAGCCTGGAGTCTCTAGGTTTGAAAAATGCTGCTTTTCTGACTGGCTTTAGCCTGTTTTGTGCATTGCAGGTTACAGTTGCAGCACTGTTACTGAACATTTGTCCCTGCCTTTGTCTGTTTTCTGTACTTTGCAAGCGGAAGTGACTCCGCTGTACTCATCTGCCCAGTCCTCAGCTGGAAGGATGGGGGAGAGCACCTGCATTCGACCTGCTTGAGGTTTTCCCGGCTGCTTTACCGAGTGGTTGGCTCTGGTGTAGAGCTGTCCTGAGCTCTTTCCATAGTTTGGCATGCAAGCTGTGAGACTGCAGACTAACTGCAGTTAGTCTATGAGTCTGCGGTTCTGCTTCAGACCTGCTTTTCCCTCACCCAAAACTGGTTTGTCGGACGGGGAAGTGAAATGCGTGGGATTCACCATACCACAGAGGTGCTTCAGTGTGAGAAGCTACACGAAGAGCAGGAGATCAGCTCATTTTGGGTAGTTATAACTTTAAGCTGGAGCCGGAGTGGACCACACCGAACAACCATGAGAAGCAACAATATATCCAAACAAGTGACTATAAATGCAGTGGTTGTGTTCATGGGGAGTGGATGGCATGCCTGTTAGATTAAAGGTGCTGTGCAGCTCTGTCACCCTGCCAGAGCGATAGGATGTTGAACATGGGACCTACTGCTTGGTATCCCAGTCCATGTTGCACATTGTCATGTCTTGCAGTGATTTTGGGTTGTCAACACTAGGGATAGATGCCTCTTTCTGAAGTTAACCACGGAGCTTCTCTGCTCTGCTCTTTTCTTTTTGCTGGTGCCAGAAGTGCTCAGCCCCATGCACAAGCTGTATACCTAACGGCATTGTCATACAAGTTGAGTCCACGTGCCTGTGGAGGGCACGGTATGGTAGGAACCAACAAAATCTGCCAGAGTGTGTGGCTGTGATGTGTTGGAAGAACAGCTCTCCATGTTGGTAGCTCTACAAGTTTGGTTCAGTGTTTTTCTCCACTTCCCTAAGCATGCATATCTTGGGTATCATGTTGAAATCACAGGTTTCCTGTGATGTCTCTATCAGCATAAAACTGGGATGTCTTTGGCAGTTTTAGATTATTTCTCAAAATGATCTAAATACAAAGAAATACCTAGGATAGGCAGGTGAGACTCTGACCTTCCCTGTGGGGAGTGTCCAGCCGTGCCCTGTCTGAGGATACAGCTAGCTTGAGAAAGAAAAGCTCAATTTGCCATTTCTGAGGCAGTAGGGAGAGGTAAATTAGGTAGGTTAAAAATAAGGGTCCTGGAGTGAGCAACTGCATTGCAGCAAGCTATGTAACAGCACTTTAAGAACGAGCGCAGAGGAAAAGATACCTATCTCAGCCCAACACAGAGAAATTGCAAAGCTGGTACTGAAAACTCCAGCAGTAGAAAAGATCCAAACAGTGGAGCAGTCTGATTTTAGCTAAAAGGCAGTTTGTCTTTACAGAGCAGAAATGATTGTTTCTTGCGCTCTTCCACAGAAGAGGAACTCTCATGACATGAAATACTAACTTTAGTACCTGCATGTTGAAGGAGGTGTGTGATTAGTGCAACCAGTCACAGGGGCATAGCCCAACGAAACCTCACTGGTTAGGGCTGTGACAAGTTGCTGAAGCATTTTATGGGGTCTTACGCTCTCCACTGGTGTCCTGTCTCACCCCGCTGCCCGGCAAAGATGTTAGGATGTGATGGGAGACAGTGTCAAAAGCCTTGCTGAAGTCCAGGTAGACAACATCCACTGCTCTGCCCTCATCTACCCAGCCAGTCATTCCGTCATAGAAGGCTATCAGATTGGTCAAGCATGATTTCCCTTTGGTGAATCCATGCTGACTACTCCTGATCACCTTCTTGTCCTCCAGATGCTTAGTGATGACCTTCAGGAGGAGCTGTTCCATCACCTTTCCAGGGATGGAGGTGAGGCTGTCAGGCCTGTAGTTTCCTGGCTCCTCCTTCTTGCCCTTTTTGAAGACTGGCGTGACATTGGCTTTCTTCCAGTCCTCAGGCACCTCTCCTAATTGCCATGACCTTTCAAAGATGATGGAGAGTGGCCTAGCGATAACATCCGCCAGCTCCCTCAGCACTCGTGGGTGCATCCCATCGGGGGCCCATGGATTTATGGATGTCAAGTTTGGACAAAAGATCTCTAACCTGATCCTCCTCAACCAAGGGAGAGTCTTCCTTTCTCCAGCCTTCCTCTCTTGTCTCCAAGGTCTGGAATTCCTCAGGACTGGCCTTAGCAGTGAAGACTGAAACAATGTTCATTCCCCTTTGTGTGGTTTGTGCCTGGGATATGAAGTAGAAAACGCGTCACTGCAACTTTGGAAAACGAGTGGGCTCCTATTGTAAGCTGCAATGAGGTGGTGCAGCTAGAGAAGGAGATGTCTGGGAAATTTGAACGTAAACTGAAGAAGAGATTTTTGTTAGTGACCCATCTCTATGACAGGATGAACTGACTGCCCAAATCCAGGGCCCCAGGGTTTGGACATGAAGGGTTTGGAGCGTGGCATACTTCAGAGTGTGGCAACCTCAGCTGATATCTGGTGTCAAAAGAAAAGCATCATCCCCACCATTTTTCTGAATGGGAAGTCAATGCCCTTGGCATTAAGGATATCACTAACAAGTTGGAGAAGCTCTTTGAGTTTACTTTTCTGCATTCAGTTTTAGTGCTGGATCTTGGATAGTGTGGTGTGTGTGTGTGTGACCTGCATGTATGTGAAGTATCCTACTATGAGCTCCCTTTTTATTATCTATTTGGTCTGAGTGATTTTGCTTGATTTATCATAGCTTAGATATGGCTTTTGGTTGTTGCTAAAACTGTTTAAAAATGTTTAAAAATAATAAAGTGGGTTTACTAGCAAAAGGTTTATATTCCTATTCTAAACTGAGTTTTTGAATTAATTCCAAGTGCAGGGTGTTCCTTTGGCTTTGGGTTTGCCCTGCTTAGGCAGGTGGGCATGTTTCACCAGTAAGAAATTTAACATATACAGAGTTTCAGTAAAAGAACTTCCATGCACATAGCCTGATCCTGCATTTTTTGTGCCCTAAAACTTTCAGCAAATTGAGATGGAGTTTAGGAATAAGCAATAGATGCAGCACTGGGCACAGGAGGTGAAAATGGTTTGTTGATGAGTAAGTTAACACACTACTAATGAACAAGTCACTGTGAAACTAAAGTTATTTTTATTTTTAATCAGTTTATTTGGCCGTTATCTGCTTGCATCCTTGGAGCTTTTTCAGTGTCTTGTTGAAAACAGCAAAATATACAGTCATCACTTAGTTTATTTCTTCAGAACTATGTGCATTAAACAGTGTGAGCAGTGACAGTTAATTGAGTACAGTTGTGATATATATATATGTTTTTATATGTATACACACAAACACAGAATATAGGATATCTACCACATAGGCAATATATGCAGTGCAAAAAATTGTCTTGCAGCAATACTTTGAGGATCTGTATCTTTTAGATACATCACATTTCTTTAGGAAAGTGATTTAGGGATGTAGGAAGATAGACCCAAAATTCAGGAATTCATTTAAAAGAAAACAACACGCAAAGATTTTCCCAAATCTCTTCCTGATAATGTCAACACTGATCATAGTTTTTCATTCAGGTGAAGCTGCTGCTGGAGTTAAATGCTCTCCTGCAGTGTTGCAGCCACAGTTGCTGGCCATGTGAAGAAATACAAGTGTCCAGTGAAGCTTTTATGGACTCTTGGTCCGAGTCCAGCAAAGGAGGCAGTTTTCATTTTACGAAGGTGAGAATGGCTGTGCTTGAAAACAATATGATTTTGAATGCTTCAGCAATAGAAGTGTCATCTCTGAAGTGCTGTCACAGAGGGCTCAAGCCTACAGCCCTCGCCTCGGCCGAGGTCCCTCCATGCCCGGCTGCGCGCTGCTGGGCTGCTGCCGCCCCCCAGCCGTTCCTGGGCCACACAGAGCTGCCCAGCGGTGCTTGTTCACGGCCGGTTTGGTGGTGGATCTGCAGCGTGCAGCTGGATTCCTGGTTGCAGCCCGCGAGCCTGATGCCATGGTGGGCTGGAAAGATTTCTTCTGGCTGTATGAGTTTAGCCTGAGCTGGGACAGTGAGACTTGGCCCTTCATTTCGCTTCTGAACATAAGCTGAAAATGCACTAGCAGACACCCCTGAGCACTTGCAGACTGGGTTTGTATGCTGCCACGCTCTGTGCTGGGTAGGCACCAGGTCAAAGGGGTGATGCCTTGATTTTTTTTCAGATTATATTAGCGTACTCAGAACACCATTATATTTTCAGCCTTTTCTTTGCTTGTGTGAGTGCTCAATTTCCCCAGGCGTTTTGGAATGGCTTTCCACCCAAGGACTTGCATGAATGCCCCTATCTGACCTAGAGTGAGCTGGTAACACTGATTTCACTGGTGAGTAACAGGTTGTTTCTCGTGGGATTAACTTCATCTGTGGCAAAACCACAGATTAATTTGCTTTTTTTTTTTTTTGAGCTTTTTGATGAAGATCACTTAACCTGCGCTATAACCCCTCACAAAAGCCCAACTCAGTACTTTCTGGTTTGTTATTTAAATCGATGTTATTTATGGGGTATTATATAGCTTTCTCTACAGCTATATAAAAACATTCTTAGCAACACCGTTTTCTCTTGGATAAATTTGGCTTTTTTTTTTCCCCCTGAAAAAAAAAAGATGCTCCATACAGTATCTTCCTTGTGGGTTTAGTCTTAAACTATCTGAAAAGCTGCATGGTTGGGAAGGACATAATAGTTTGTTTCAGATTTTGTTTGACCCATAGTGACCATGTACACTGGATTTCTGAAATAAAAACTTGTTTAGAATAAGCGTAATGAGTGTGGAGCTAAAAACTACCACAGAGACAGTGCTGTGAGATGGAGCTCTCGAGATCTGAAACTAGGCTTCTGTGATCTCAGACTGTTGTCGTAGCCATGTAAGTGCATCACTGGTCTTGACACTCGATGGGGTAGGTCAGACGTTTTCCTCAAGCTGCCAGGTTGAGCAAGAGTCCTTTGAAATGGAATACCCTGCTGGACTGGGGGAACTAGGGAATAGATTAGTAAGCTTTTAATTAACAAAGATAGGGTAAATGCCCCGTTTGCCTTTATTTACATTATGGATCTACTGGAGATGTGGATAGCAGGGATTGTTTAATTAGGTGTTACCTTCCCAGCTGACCGTGTTCATTGAGTCTTGCCATTCAAGAACTGGTTTTCAAAGGCAGTTGGTGAGTTATTCTGTCTAGGCTTTATATCAGGGCTAATGTGAGAAACAAGAAGCTGAGATATTCCTGAAGGAGAATTTTTAGCTCTAGATGAGGGCACCCTCAAGGCACAGGTGCATTTGGAGAAAGAGTCCAGCTGTTTTGCAGATTTTCTACTCAGGTGCCACATAAATGTGGTATGCTCTGACCATAAATGGTGCAAAGGCACCATCTCCCCCAGCTTTGCTATGCTAGCAGCCAGGAGATGTTTAGCTTTGCAAGGTGGCAACTGAAACGAAGCAGCCCTGACCTCTGGGAAAGGGGATAAGAAGCACTGACAAATAGTTTTGCAGCAGTTATCTATGGGCCCCATAGCCCCTAGCACATACAGATGTCAGTTGTGATCCATGGCTGGGCATAGAGGTTGACAGGAGAGCAGCCTGACACCAGTGTGACGTTACTACCCCTCAGTTACCAAGTATTTTTTCCTGGGTTGCTAAGGTAGCACATGTCCAGCTGCTGGGTGAGGGACTGAAACTCAGTAGTCCAGGGACAAGAAGCAATTCATCTCTCTGCCACTCTGACCTTTCCTATCTGCAGGGATCTGCTACCTGGTCATTGAGCCAGTTCCATGAATACCCACACTGCAAACACCCAGCCTTTGATCTCTGCATGTAGCATGTTCCTCTCATTCGAAGCATTTGTGGTACAGTCCAGTGTATTTTCTGCCTGTGCATGGAACTGGCTAAATCGCTATATTCAAATACCTTTGAAATGCCGTTTGACTGATGCTCGTGAAGAACTGTTGCACCCTGTCAGCCAATGCTGAATGGGTGTGGGGATGCAGAGGTTGATTTTTTTTCTAACAGTTTAATGGTAGAGATATGCCGCTGAGAAACATAATACCAGTGAGGCTTGACTCGTGTAGTGGTACAATACCTGTAACCCATGGGAAAGCCATTGTGGTCACCTAGGCTGTTCTCAGTAATGTGCAGATTGTCCCCTTTCGGTTGTCACGCAAAGGCTTCCATGAGGTTTCCCAGAGCTGCAGCCACCCTCCTGCTACCCTGTGCTGGGCGAGCCTGCCTCTGGCCTGATGCAGGGGTCTCCCAGCCCGTGGCAACGCCCATCCCTCCACAGGCGTCTCTGGCTTAAACATGCATTGTGTCTCAAGGGTCAACCAAGAGTTAGCTGGAGGTTAGCATGCACCCACAAATTCGGGGGGAGAGAGGGAAGGAAGTGACATCATTTCTCTCTGCATCTTCTCGTGTGAGTACTTCTAGTGAATACTGCACCTCTTCCATTATAATACCTTCCTGGTATGGGAAAACCTTTTTTTATGCGTTCTACTGGAGCAAGCGCTAATAACAGTAAGTAGCCCCAAAGATGCGGCTGTGAATGTCCACCGTGTACAGAGATGTCAGCGTGTGGAGGTTAGTGACAACCTTGGTAGGATCCCTTTTGAGTTTTGGCAGAAGCTACACCGCTTTCTCTTCCCCACTCACTGTTGATGTTCTCCTCAGGTTTTCCTTGACTTTAATGAATTCTGGTGCATGGTCTTCTTGCTTCTCCTGTTCTTTCTCCAGCTGAAAGGCAAACAGTCACCGTTATCTGTGCCCACTAAAGGATAAAAGTGCAATTCATTAGCTCAGGGTCCAGTTATTATTGCCCAGAATTGAATGACTGTGTAAGCCACGTGTTGACTAGCTCTCTTTTTCACCCTTAGTGGGTTTTTCTGGCCCACGGAAACCCTTGTTCTTTTCTCCAGTGGAAAAGGTGGAGAATGCATCTCACTCCAGAACTGAAATGGAAGAGGGAGGAGGAAATTTGAATCCTTCCGAGGAAAGGAGGCCTGTGAACCTGGGAAACACTCTTACCATTAGGTTATCATCTAAAGGGTGGTAATGCCTTGTACTGCCTCTCTTCTATATGTGGAGTCTCTATGGATGTGTCCCTAAACCACCCTGTTTTCATATACCTGATTCTTCTCTGAGAGTGCTGGGCTTTGATTTTTCAGGTGGTCTTGGCTTGATTGATATTGTTGCAAGGGAACTCCTGTGCTATTAAATAAACCCATTTTATCCAATATTTTATCCATATTATCCAAAGTATCCAATTTTATGCCAATATTTGAGTGCAAATATTGGCAAGTGGGAGAGGGAATTATTTGCAGAAGGAGCAAGTTAACTTGCTCACCCTGCCTGTCACCCTATGTCCCTGGTTGCTGGCCCCCCGGTCTGCTCTGGCCGAGGTACTCTTCCCCAGGCAATGCCCCAGCATGGGTTTGGCCAGGGTACGTGCTGGGAACTATGTTCCATGGCTCCCATTTTATGCAGGGGTAGCAAAGCCATGCTTTGAGTTGAGCCCCACCATACCCATCGCCTCTCTGGTCTGTGCCTCATGTAGGGGTTAGGGTAACCTGGGGATGCCTGAAAATTCAGTTCTACCTGATCCAGCCTTTGGTGCCTCTTTAACAGCTCTTTTTCAAAAGGCGACTGCAATTTCTTTGCCTCTTCCTCTTCTTTCTTCTGTCTGATGAGTTGGTTTCGCCGTCGGTGCTCAAGCACCCGCTGCAGCTCTGGCTTGCTCTCCACGCCCAAGCCTCTGTGGATAAAAAGCAGATATGTCAGGGCCGGGGCGCCTTCAGCCTGGGTGTGTAGGCACTAAAAGGCTGTCCTCAGCCCTAAAAGGAAACGTGGGGCCCTGGTCCACAAATCCATCTGCAAGGATTCAAGCGTATTACGGGGAGCACCTTACTGCCGGGACCTGTGCCTCAGGTGGCCACGGCGGTTGCCCCGTGGCACTGGAAGTTTTGCGAACCCTGTTCCGCTGTGCTGCTGTAGTTGGGAATGGAAATGGCACCGTCCGTTGCCTCTTGCTGTTACTAGTTTTAATTATTTCAGCCACAGCTTCAGCCACGTTTAGAGAATTTTAAATAGCGAAGCTTTTTTTCCACCAGCAGGGGTAGTCATTGAACTGCAGTAATTGTCCTGGCAGTTCATTTCCTCCTTGTTGCATCCAGACTTGCTTCAGAGCTGAAGATTAGTGTGAACACCCTGTTGACGTGGAGAGTTTGGGTTAGAGGCCAAAATGAAAGGTCCTTTTCTCCTGGAAGCAAGAGCGTTTGCTGATGTAGGAGGCACGGGCTCCCATTCAGCCCTACCAATGCCTCTTAAACAAAGCGGGACCACTAAAATCCTGTTTTGTTGGGGGTAGGATCACTGGAAAGGAGAGGTCACAAGGACATGTTAACACACTTCAGACATAAATATGTGGCAAAGAGCTGAAAGAAGTCCTCTGAGCAAACTTCAGAAACCTAACACTTCCAATGTTGCCATGTCTGAATTTAAACGCTAAGATTTACCTTTTGCACATGACCCTGGCCCCTGTCCTAGCAGCTGCTGCCCTCCTGAGAACATGGAAGTAGGTATGTATGTGTAGGGATAGGGGTTAGTGTGGAACAAGTCCAGATGTGCTTGGTGTGGGTTGCGGGATGGTTCCTGCCTTTCCAAGATACAGTCTTATCTCCTCTGTGCCAGAAGGAATCAGCCTCCTGTACGATCCATAAAATTCCTGGCTTAAATCACTAAGACTGGTGACTCTCTGTCCCGCTGTGAATCCTAGTCAGAGAGAGGCAAAAACCTGAGACTGCAAAGTCAAACATTTGCTGAAGTCTGAGGAGATTTTATTCTAACTGCAGAGTTTTGTGTAGCTGAAGAAAAGATTATTAAGAAGTAACTGAAGTCATATTTACGTGGGTTATCTTCTGCTGGGCTCCACTGACAATAGCAACTGGCACGTAAATAATCTTGCAGGAAATAGAGAACTGAAATAGGAATTGTGCACTCTGCCAGAAGTAATTGATTGAAGTTGTATTTTTGGGGAAAAGAAGTTGAAGGCTTCATAGCTGTCATTCCTGGGGAAGGACTGGAGCCCGACCACTTCTGTGGGCTGGATTTAACACCATTTAAATCAATGGGCTGAGACTATTTTACGTTCCAAGGAAATACTCTGAGCACAGATAACCTGTATTCACAGGACAGAGCTTGTAAAATGTGGGCTATTCTATGTTCGTCTGCATGAAGATCCCCTCAGAGGGGAGGAGATGAGCTCCTCCATGTCAGGGATGAAGGCTTGCCGGGGTTGTGGCTGCGCTTGGCAGGGTGGGAAGGTTGGGGATGCTGGCTCTTGGAGGGGGACCTGATCTTGCAGCGAGGTCCATGTCTGAGATCCCTGCAGTCAGGTGAAATCCCACTGGGATGAGTGGGCACCCGTCGCTACCGAGCTCACTAAGGGGGCCTTGCTAGCAGTGCAAAGCTGCTTGGTGTTGGAAGGTTTCTATTGACTGAAGGCTGGCTGGTTTTTAGAGACATTGAAACTAGTGGACTTTGCAGCTTTCTTGGCAAGGTGTCAGGTGCTGAGGTAGTATCTAATATCATTAGAAACTTGATTGGCAGACAGGAGAGGGAAACGCTCTCCAGATGCTGCAAACTGCTGCACTGTAACAACGTGGCTGGGGGACCGAGTTCCTTGGATGCTTCCAGTACCTGCGTTTAACATTGCTTCCTATTGTTGCCTATTTTGTTTTATGGCAGGACAAAGTTCACAGTAGCATCAGCAAAGCTAACAGGAAGTTTGGCAGCAGAGCTTTTATGATGTTTTTTCAATACAGAAGGAATTCACATGTTACAGAGATACCTTTCCCAAGGCTGAGAGAAATTTAATCTGCTCTGGCTTGCAGGAAACGCAGGGTTTGTAATGCTGCCTTCAGATTTGTTACTGTTCTTTGATTTAAGTGGCCTGTGCTGTTAGTACCCAGAGGTGTTGGCTGTGATAAGGGTTTTGTTGCACATGCTGCTGACTGGAGTTGCTTCTTGGTTGCTTAAGGGGAAAAAAACAACAGCAAAGCAGAAACAGGAGCAAGCTGTAGGTCCCTCTCTCTCCTCTTCCCCCCACTCTCCCTCTATAGCAACACACAGCAGGCAGCAAAACTGTTGCATTTGACAGTGATGTGCAGGATGTTTACAACCACTGTTCCTCCTTCCATCTAGGATATCCATGTGGCTTTTGTGAACCGACTCAGGGGCTGACAGCATTTGTTTGTCCTGGAACCCAGAGATACCAAAAGAGACTATTAGAATTGATCTAAATCTGACAAGGCTCCATGACCAAGCTCTAAGCTGGATGATTAAAGGTTTGATCGCTTCCTGTTTTTAAATCAAGAAAAAAAAAAAGAATAAGAAATGGGTAAATATCCCAACGATAAGAAACCAGCAAAGGTAGATTCCTGTTTGCAGTAGGCTTTGTTTTACATATTTGTTGAAAAATATTTGGGAGGCCTGAGCGTGAGCAAGTTTAACTTTGTGTGAGCGTCCGCAACCGGTGTCTCTCCCTGAGACATACAGGACTAAAAGGAGAGGGATGAGGATATGGTAGGATGGTTGCGGTGGGGCTGCCTTCTGCCAGCGTCTGATGGGAAACGTGGATACAACACGGTGGCAGGCATAGGACTCAAATAGCAAATGATGGCACGCTTTAGTGTTTGCCAGGTTGCTCAGCTCAGTGCCCTGGGGTCTGTACCCTGTCCATCCCGTAACGTTAACCTGCTCACCCCCTTGCTTTCCTGCCCCATAGTTTAGCAGGGCACCTCCAGGACTGCCCTGCTGTGAGAGTGGTTGCTGCTGTCCCACATCCTGTTGACACCAGTCTCTGCTCCTCCTTAAGCCTGACCAACCACCCTTACCTGACAGCCACAAGCCTTCCGCAAACAATGGCCGATATTTCCTTGTTCATCTCTGCTACCTACGTTGCAGTGGTTTCTTCATGCTTTGTTTCATTGTGGCTAAATGGGAATTATGTTCTGGGAGATCAAGGCCAAGGTGGTAAGCCTTTAACTGAGCAGCATCGCTAGGCAGGATATGGTCACTCTCAAGCCAGAAAGTTATAAAAATATCTGTCTGGGATAGTTAACTCTGCCTCAGTGGTGGGGAATGGCCAAGGCATGGTAATTCTTGTGGTTCTGTGAGCTCCAGAATCAAATAGGATCTGAGCCCTGCCAATGCCCATATTGATTAAGGGACCCTACTTTGATTGTTTGCTCAGTATGTCTTGTTCTCATGATGATTTAGTCCTTTTGAAGAGTCTCTGCTCCTTGTAATTAGACAGTCCATGTGTGATCATGTCAGAGAATTTCTTGGTATTCAGCAAATTCCTACAAAAAGCCAGCAGATTTCTTGCTGTGCTAAAAAGGCTTTCACTGAATGTGTTTTTACTTCACTGATGTTCAGGCATTTTTGTTTGCCATAAAGAAATGATGTGGATATAGGACCTCTATTTCTGGTGTCATAATCCCAATGTTATTTTTGTACCTCCAAAGAGTTAAACTGGTGTGATGGGGTGGAAAATCAGGAATGCGAATGCTAGCTCTTTACCCTAGGAGCACTTTGATTTTTACAGAAACAGTGATTAGCCTTTTCCCTGTATGCATGATTTCCCACTGACGCTATCGCAGCTCCATCCAGCTCCACCTCTTACTGCCTCTGGGTTGACCCAAAGGCTTTAAACCACGCCGAAAGGCTGCATGTTGGGATGGACTTGGCAAGCTGCTTTGCATGAGTGACAGGAATGGAAAAAACAGGACGAGGGAGGGAACATTCATGGGACACCGAGAAGGGGGCAATGGGGACGCCTTGTGTGCAGAGATCTCGGACCGGGTATTTGCAGTTCCCAGAGCTTGCAGCTCGAGGTGCAAGGAAATAGTGAGCAGCTCTGGAAAGGACTTGGCAATGCCCCAGAATGGCAGAGGTTTTCAGTTTTGTTTTTGTTGGATCCAAGAGAAAAGGGGCTGCAGCAAGTTTTATCCTGTGTCTGTTTGTAAGTGAAGGGATTTAGCGTGACCTTCCAACTCGCAGGCTGTCTCAGGCCATTCAGCAGCATCTGGCTGATGAGCTCAGAGTGCTCAGCACCTCTCAGACCACTTCAGCGGCAGGTGGGGGCGTTCTCTTACCTTTTGTGGTTCATCAGCAACTCTCTGTGCAGCTCTTGGTGACTCTTTGAGGCTTTTACGGGATTTAGGAGCTTTTTAGGTTTGATAAGATCTGGGTTTCCATCTATGTAGTCTGGGTGAGTCAGGATATTCCCACTGTCTGGTCGTTCCCGCTGTATTTCGGTGTACATTGATGCTGAAAGAAAAGAGAGGTGTTTGCATAAGAAGTCTCGCTATGCTGGAGCGTAGGAGCCCACCGGAGCTCTCCTCCTTGGACAAACAGGAGCAAAAGAGACGGTGCCTGCCCCGGCAGCTCAACACCCGTGTTGGCATCTGCACGCAGGCACATGGGCACGTGTCCAGATGTGCTGGTGGGGTTTTGGAGAGGTTTAAAAAAATACTCCCATTGCATTGTTGATCTGACAAATATTAATCAGATCATTTGTAAGTTACTTACCAGCCCCTCCCTTCAGCAGCTGCAGCATGTTGTGCCAAGGATTAAGGCAAAATAGATCTACCTAAAACTGGAAACAGCCATTGATTCGGACTGCGCTGAGCAGCTGCCTTGGTCGTCCTGGCCGAGGCTGTCAGTGCCTTAGCACAGCGATGGGGATGCTAGGATATGAGAGGGTTTCGGAAACGCAGGCCCGAGGAAGTGCTTATATATAGTGTCTAATCTCATAGACAGAGATTGCAGATACAGTTATCTGAAATCTCTTGTCAGTGTAAGGTTTTGCTGATATCCTGCTGGCCTAATATTCAGGATCCAGCCCGGTGCCAAGGAAAGCGTAATTCACACATGCAGTATGTGATCATGCTGTAATAGTTTGTATGTTCTGGCTGTAAGAACAAAGGTCTCCTATTTTGTAAGTGACGGCAGCCTGGATTTCAGGCAAACCACAAGGCCTACTTGCTGTTGATATTTTCCAAGTGTTTTCCATTTCTCCATTACAAAAAAACCTATTCAAAGTGAGTGCAAAGCACACATTACAAGACAATATGCGTACAGTGGGCTGTGCCTTTAAGTGTAAAGCGCAGTTGGGCCGACTATAATTATGCCAATGTGCAGCCTAATCAGGGGCCTAGAAAGAGCAATTTATTCCTAAGTACTCACTCGAAAAATTTGGAAGTTTACCAGTAGGAACAAAAAGTCCCAGGAAAAGAGTGTAGGCAGCTCCACATCTGTAAACGTCTCACCGTTATAATGGGAAGCCTAGTGTGAAGTTATATGGGTTGGTGGAGCAGCAAGGAAAACCTACTGTTTGGTAATGTTGCTTTTCTCTCTTATTGTAGTTCCACGTATAAAAGGAATAAAGCCCTTTTAAAAGAGAAATCGATAGATAAAGCAAGAGAAAGCAGGTAAGGGTCATTCTTTCATAGTCAGTAAGTACTTATCCAATGTAAAGTGGATTGCAATCAAACAGAATTATGTAAGAAATAATACTGCTGAAGAAACAATTCAATATCAAACAACTTCTCACTGAAGGTTAATGTGGCCAGCGCCCTACTGCTTTGGGAACAAAGGAAAACAAATCAGAGCCCATTACAGGAGTGTAATTGGGGTGAATTCGGTACATATGTAAAGGGCACTTTGGAAGCTGGAAGGAGTGATTTCTTGCATCAAATTATTTTCCTCTAGGATCATATGTCACTGTTGGCCATGGAACATCGAAACGCGCAAATGCCAGGCTGACTCGCATCCTTGCGGGGCCACACTCTGCAGGCTCAGGCTGGTGGCTCAACGGTGCGCGCCAGAGTCGTGCGTGGATTGAAGAACAGCCAAGGGTTAACGCAACACAATTTTTTGGCCAACTTTTGTTAAATGAAAACCAGTTCTCAAACAATGAGAAAACACAACAGGTTTTCACTGGGGTAAAATTGCTTTAGTTTGTTCTTCCCGTATTTCCTCTCCTGTTATTTTTCTTTTCCGTAGAAGAAAAGGCAGAGGAAAGACAAGAAAGGGAGGTGTAAAAGCAAAGGTTTGTTTGGGTGGGAATGAAATGGATGACCTCCCATTTCAAATGGCAAAGCAATGTCTTATTTTGTTCCTAAACAAGACTTTCTCCCTGGAGTAATTTTGAGAAATGTCAGATCTTTTAAATGGAAAATACAATTTCTGGACAGCTGTGCTAAAAGACTGGCTGTAGTGTAAGCGTGTTGTCCTGTTGCCCCTTACTCTGTCCCTTTGCCATCATTTAGAAGAGAGCTACCGTATCCTGCAACAGAGATATTTCTGCGTTGGGATGTTTGATGGGTGCAGAATCCTGTCACACTGGTTATGCGTCATTTTGGGGTGGAAGCGGTCAGCGAGCCGGCAGCTCCAATGCGGGCAAGCCCAGAGGTTTTGAATAGGCGTATGTGGTTATTTCCAGACTGTAGCAATCCAACATTGCATGACCAAGGCTTGGAAAATAGAAGCAATTTATCAGCCTATTTACTGAAGGCAGAGAGGGAACTTTCCCCTGAAGCTAGCACAAATGCAGAAAATGCTGGGAAGGAAGGAGTGGGAGGAATTGAAATATACTGGCAATGTTTCTGGCCAGGTGGCTGTTAGAGCAGCATGTACAAGTCCTCACAATGACTGTAATTTGCCTGAGCAATTTTTCAGGGACCAGGACCCAGCAGGTAGCTTTCAGCTTGGTTTTCACTGCACTAGATCTGTCCAGGGGTGTGTAGACACTGTCAATGAGGGCTTTGCTTCCAGTGGATAGCTGTACACGGAGCATGGCTATCTGAGCTGCTGCCCTGGCACAAGGGCAAAGCTCTGACCTTGTCCCAGAAAACAGCTGGAAGGAGCCTTGAGCCTAGCTACACGAACAGCACTTTATATTTTCAGAAGACTTTAGTCTGGCACAATTCAAGACATGTCTTCATTTTCTTCATAAAAAGAAAAATGAGAATATAAAAGCATTAGTGCTCCTGAAACACAGCCTGGGGTTATGCTGGGAGTAAGGACAGGGCATCCTTTCTCCTGCAGTTTGGCAGACGGAGACCCAGTGCAAAATGTTTCTAGTGGTATAGGTCTATCATCTTCAAGACCTGATGTAATTCATTTCCATGTATGAGGAGACAGACTGCTATCAGGCTGCTTTTTGTCATTATTTATAGTGCTGGAGGTATAAATCAAGCCAGGTCTCCACAGTGGATTTACAGCACGATGCCTGGTTTTGCACGAAGCAGTTGTCGATCAATGAACAAGGCTCTGCTCTGGCACCTCCTTGGCCACCATCATAAATCAGTAAAAGGTATTAGACATTTTTATATTGTTCTTGGCAAGATATAAACAAAAAATGCATGTGCATTCAAACACCCTCTGCCGTGCTCAGAAAGACGGCATGACCTTTCAGATGGACCTGGTTTGGACTATTGTTTTAAAAGGCAGTTGTGTTTGCTTCAACGTATGCAGTCTCCTCCTTGCTTTTTAAATACTTTCTCTTTTCTCATTTCTAAAGGTCTGAGGCTTTCTAGGAAAGCTCCGTTTCTGAGTGACTTTTCTATATGTAAAAAGCAAGACCGCCCAGATGAGCAGGCCGAGGCCGCAGGCACTGGCAGATATTTGGATTTCACACCCAACATGACTCCTCTTCCAAGCGAAGCTGCGAAACGCACTCCCAGCCTAGCTATGTTTTCTAGCAGACCCCACAGGAAACATTTGGCATTCGACCCTTTTTTCCAGGCCTAACCCCAGGGTGTAGAACTGGCTGGAGGAGAAAAATGACCTTTTAAAATCTTGATCTGTTGTGATCTAAACTGAAGCCCAAAATCTTGCTCAGGGTCTTGCTGGAGACCCTTATAAATCTGCCCCCAGTTTGTGAGACTTGTGATAAAATCACGGGTCCGCAATCTTGGCTAAAACCATTTCCACTTCCGATTATGCTTAGCCTTGTTCTCTTGGGTTGAAAAACATAGTAAATAATAATTAAATAACAAATAACAATAATTAAATACACCCTACTAGGAGTGTAAAATGTGGTGTGGTGCTGGAGATAGCGAGCAGCTTTTATGCAGCCCATGGCAAGGACAGTTTTAATCTCCTAAACCCTAACCAGACCTGCCGGCCCTTGGGGCACCGTCGAGCCCCTGCCCAGGGTCCGGGACCCGAGACGGGGCTCAGCGGCGTTTCCCTTTGCTGCTGCTGCTTCTTGGATCATCCCTGATGTAATTTCACTTGCTGAGAGGAGATGCCCTTCACGGGGCATTTAATTAGGATTAATCGCCTTGTCTCTACGTGGTGGGCTGCCCCGTGAGCCTCTCCGTGTCGTGACCAGGCGCTGGTGCTGCTCGCTGCACCCTGCTGTCAGCTGCCTCCCGTTTCCCGGTTCACCGTCCTGTCAGGATGAAAATAATCCCCAGGAATGTTAAGGGGATTAACAGCCTCGGAAAGGGCAGGTAACCCAAGGGGTGCACAAGCTGGTTGCAGCTGGCTGCCTGGCTCCAGCAGCTCTTCACGGGGTGGGGGAAGAGATCCAAAAGAATATTAATCCGGAGCTGTTGTGTTCTAAAAAGTTTTAGGACAGAGATCTGGGCCCCTGCCCAGCACCTGGGCACCTGCAGTGGCTTAGGAGAACGGAGGGCGTAGCAGGACACCAGCGTTCAGCTCCTTTTTGCAGGTTTTCACGTGAAATTCCTTCCCTCCTGCCAGCCGTTCCCCCTCCATCTCTCCTCTTCGGCCTCCCTGGCCCGTGAACACGGCTTCGGGATGAGCCTGCGTAGCAGGGAGCAAGCACGTCTCCTTCCTCTTGGCTTTTGCTTGACTTGGCTCTCCTCGCTCGTCATCCTGCCCCCGTGACAGGCTCTCCGTCCCCTTGCGCATCCTACCAAACAGTTTCTCCGTGTACAGCAGCATGCGCGGACCCCTGCTCCGAGGCGCTACTTCTCTGTGCAGTGCTGTACGGCTGGTTTGCGGTAGGCTTGACTTGCAAAACCGCTGATGTTAGCTTCTGCGGCACAGGCTGGTGTTTAATTTTAGCTGGAATCTATAAAACAGATGGAGTTTGCAGTCTTTTACTTCTGGTGTCTGTACTGTTTGTGTACTGATTTTCTGACTAGACTGTTTTGGGGGAGGTGTTTCAATATGGGTGAATAGCTAGAAAAGGATCAAACTGCTCTTCCTCAAGTATTTTATGGGATCCCTTTCAGGGCAGAGAGTGAGCCTCCACAAAATGTCATTAGCATCAAAATAGGCAGAAGGCATTATCCTGGGAAGGGGATCCCGGGTCAGATGATATCACTATTCATAGTTTTGCGAGACCCTGTTACTTGGTAGAAACGATGAGACTGGAGAAAATTGTCAGGATTTCCAGAGTCAGAGCTTCGGATCAGAGCTTGTAACTCTACTAGCTTGAGGGATCATTTTCTGGACAGGAATAATCAGTTAAAATATAGTTACAGAGAATAATCTCTGTTTTTCTGAAAAAAAAACAGATTGCCTGGGATTTATTTATAAATCTCTATTTTTCAAAGAGCGAACTTCAGGATGCGTGCAGGAAATAATGCTGAAAGAAGCTGGTAATGTGTGTCCCACAAGTAAGGAAACTGCAAAATAACATACTTAGCATGACGCATCAAAACTAGCTCAAAGGTGTTTACACAGGTAATCTGAGCCTGTGAAATAATTGCAGTCTATGACATGTACAACTGCGACAGTGGGGAAACGTCCCTTTTCTGGAATTTCTTGCCATGCCCGAGAATTTGACATTTCTCTTCTGAACTAAAGCTGCGTTGCGTCCGCCAAAGGGCGAATACGAAATGCACCAGGTCTTTGGGGTGAATGCAGCTTTTACCAGCTGCCAGTGCCCAGCTTTGCTCCTTCCAAAGCCTCATCTCGGCCCGTTGCGTCTTCTAATAAGACGAATCAAACTTTCTGCGTGTTGCTGGAATCATGGTAAGTACATCAGTGCAGAGGAGCGCTGTGATACGACCTAGGAGAAACTTTTCAAAACGAGGAAAAATCGGAAATAGTTTGGATGAGCCAACGCTAGAAGGAAATACAGTACAAGGAAGATGTCTGCTGTAGATTCAGAGGCACAAAGATCTTGTTTCTTCACCTCCCCCTTAGGAAGGCTACGATGGTGTGGGACCATCCTCACCCATGCTGCAAGGGTTTTATATGTTAGCATTAACTGGTGGGCAGAGAAGGCACCCCTTGGTCCTCTGGGAGCCTTTCTGATGTGCTCTGTGCTTTAATACTCGGCAGATATTTTTTAAAGAATGACAGTTTTTAGTCGATGCATTGCCACTGTCTAAAACGGAACTGGGTTTAGGCCCTACAACTTGTCCCAGTGCAATGTTATGACAGAAGAGGTTATGCTGTATGTTAAACGCTACAGGAAAGAGTTCAGATGAAGGGTCGTCTTGAATTTTGGATTCTTAGGTTCTTGATGTTTGCTAATTTGCATAATTTTCCTAATATTAATACATTGTATTTTAGAATTAGAGAATAACTGAGGCTGGAAGGGACCTCTGGAGATCCT